TGGATAAGACAGATAGATAGTATTAGATCAAGAAAGTAATCATAAGTTAACAGTAGTGTAAAGATAGAAAAGATATTGGGAACATGCAAAAACAGGACGTTTTGCGTTGCATATTGTCAGACACAGTATGTCCAATTGGAAAGAGACTCGGGATTCGCCCGCGTTGATCGTACTAAACGATATTAATTAGGCGTAATCAAGTGATTCGCTTTTCTGTTGGGTGTAAACTTTAGTATCGCGATAAACCTCAATGCCAATATGCAGTATGCATTATGCATGGTAAAATTCTCAGCTCCTCAATAACTCCTCCATATTCATTCATCTTTGATCCGATTTGCTCCAGCAAAATCGTCCTCACATTCTTCTAATATCTTGCTCATTCATATACTTCTCGAGATCGGTATCCTTGTGCTCCCACCATTCGAAAAGGAGAGAGTTACAGATAAGCTTGAACCAAGGTGTAAACTTCAAAGAGGGATCGTTGAACATAGTCTTGAGTCCATCGGCAGAAACGTACTGAGTATCGCGGACTTCGTTCATGTTTGGCTCGAGGTCGACATCGGCGGTAATAAAAAGGATGTAATCGACTAAAAATATTGTCAATCGTTAGCCATTGTACATCATAAGGGATCATAAAAACAGGTTGACATACTTTCATGCTCTCCCCATTTTCCGTCACTGGGTGCTTTGTAATGGATTCTGGTCAAGAATTTGAAGTCCTCGATGGGTACCTGCGCAGGCTTGATTCCAAGTTCGTGCTCGAGCTTTCGTTGTGCGGCTCTCTTGACTCCCATGATAGCTTCAGTCAACTCAGAACCACCTTCACCAGGTATGCCAAGAGGATGGGAGCAGCAGGTGTTAGTCCACATATCAGGGAATGTGATCTTTTCGGTCGCACGTTGTTGAAGGAGTAATTCATTCTTGGAGTTGAAAAGAAAGACGGAGAATGCGCGATGAAGGAGGCCTTTGTCGATGTTTGTCATGAGATGACCTAGAGTGATCAGTATATAAGTAGCGAACAAATACTTGTTTCTCTTCTCTTACATATCTTCTTGCTGAAGTTCCCAATCGGCTTATCATTTTCGTCTAGGACAATGCAGACTTCATCCATCAATCTGATCTGCTCTTCATCGTGACCTTCGAGTTCTGCAGAGCTCGTGTCAATGTCAGGGAAAAGTCGAAGAATGCTCTGAGCAGTGATAGGCTCAGCCTGTGTAATTGAAGTTGTTGTAGACATGGTGAAATGGAGGGAGGAGAGTGGTGGTCTTGTGGGATTTTGAAAGTCCTTCCTTGGGATTATATTGTTCAGAAATGGCGGAAATGGCTGAAATGGCTCACAGGATTGATAAGGGGAACAGGGACAAAATGCCTCAAGCAATTAAACTGCCGGCGCTATTCCCGCCTGAATAATTGGCCCTGGCCCAAGTCCAACCTTATAAGGTTAAAATTCGGCGGGGAAATTTAGTTTGAATGAAGGCTGTCAATAATAAAGTTTGACACCTCAGGCAATTAGAGGGGCAGAAAAAAAAAGTTTGTTTGAATTTTGGTCGGCTCGGGAACCGAAAGAAATTCGAATCTCCAAGTACCTACCTACCTACGAACGAGTACATCGATATCATCTGGGGAAGAAGACCTCATATCTTGTCTCTCAATACAGGTTAATCAATTCAATTCAATTCAACCCAACCCAACCCAATACCTTATCTAATCACCCTGCTCTACATTCGAAACACCAATATGGGAAAAGCTTCTAGAAATAGGACCAAGCATCGCGCTGATCCTACTGCAAAATCCATCAAGCCACCCACTGACCCAGAGCTTGCAGCTATTCGAGAGAGCAAAATTCTACCAGTTCTCCAAGATCTACAAAGTGCAGACCAATTGAAGAGATCAACCGCCGCGACTGCAATTGCGAACCTCGTTGACGATACAAAATGTCGAAAGTTATTTTTGCGAGAGCAGATTGTTCGAATTCTGCTCGAACAAACCCTCACAGACTCGAGCATGGAGACTAGAATCGCAGGATGGGGAATCATGAGAAATTTAGCATTAGAAGAGGAAGCGGACTTTTGTGTGCATTTATACAGACAGGATATTTTAACTGCAATTGAGGGAGCTGTCAAATCTGTAAGCAGTCACAGCAATCCCATTCTTTCATCACTACTCTAACAAAAGTAGATTATCGAAACGATCGATTCAAAAGACACTCCGCTCTCGAAAATACCACAATCTCAACAGGACCTCTTGTGGAGTCTTACAAGTTCTGTAATAACACTGTTAACCTCCCTGTCTGAAGCCGAGATTGAGATTGTCGAAGCCATATCAAAACTATCTACAATTATCAACTTTTTGTTTGGATTGTTGTCGCTGGATACAACTCCATTGGAGATCAATAATGAAGTACTGTCATGTTTAGCAGCCCTAACAGAAGACAATAAGACCTTGGTCGAATTCATTACAGAGCAGAAGGATTGGTTCAAACTACTGATGCAATTGAAGAACTCCGGTGGATTCAAAGGTGTTGCTACTTGTGGAGTACTTCATAACATCTTTACAGTAATGAATTGGGTCGATGACAATGCTCCCATGGATGGCGCCTCGGATGCTATTCTTCTCCCGACTTTGATCGAGTCAATGCAACAAGCACAACAGACAAATGCTGCCAATGATACAAACGGCCACACGAAAAATTCTAGCCCCGAACGAGTCTTGCAAATGGCCTTGGAAATTACTGCATCGATTGCAACTAGCCTTCAAGAAGCTCTTGAACTTGGAAACGGAAAGGAGGAAGTGTTTGAAGGATTTGGAGATGACGAGGAAGTGGATGAAGACCAGATGGTTGACGGTGATGCAGATTTGTCGGAAGGTGAAGAAGGTGACTTGAGTGACGGAGAGAACGAAATGACACAGGAGGATATTGAGGCTGACATGGATATGGTCCTGGGAGATGACCCAGAAGATGAGGAGACGTCTAATGATCAAGATACACTCCATCAACTTGTTCAGGTCGCTTGTCCAGCCGTTATAGCTCTTACACAACTATCCGAGGACTCAAAAATGGAGGGTGATGATGTACAAACTCCTGCTCTGGCAGCTCTAAACAACATCGCATGGACCGTCTCCTCCATTGACTTTTCCAAGAGCCATCTTGGTAGCTTACAAAAGTCATGGGCTGGTCTTGCCCAGCGTATATGGGACGAGGTCGTGTGTCGTGTACTTGCATCCAACACGGCGAACGTTGAACTGGCCGCCTCTATTACAAGTATTGCCTGGGCTGTTTGTAAGAGTGTTCAAGGACGTGTTCAAACACGAGCGGATGAGCACAGAAAGTTTATGGCTCTCTACCATGCTTCGAAGGGCTTTGAAACCCCAAGTGACTCCAAGGCTTCTAAGAAAGACGCAGAAAATCTTGATGATTCAGCTTTTCAGTCTCTGGGGGTCAAATGTATTGGCGTGTTAGGTAGTCTTGCCCTCGAGCCCGCACCTATCGAACTTAATCGAGAAATTGGCATTTTCCTAGTCACTCTCATTGCAGGCGTTCCCGAAACCCCTGCGGCTCATGCGGTGGAAGCCTTGAACGAGATTTTCGATATCTATGCCGACAAAAGTTATTCGTTTGACCAGTCAGTTTTCTGGGGAAGTGGATTCGACAAACACTTGGAGGAAAGTTTGCCTAAGTGCAAAAAGATGGCTAAATCAATTGACAAGAGAAAGTCACCAGAGCTTCGTTCGAGGATTGATGAAGCAGTATTGAATCTAGCGAGGTTCTTGAAGTACAAGAGAACAGAAAAGTCGAGCTAGGGTGTAGATGACGGGATATAAAAACCAGGATAGTCAAGCTACGACAAAGAATATTTCTCTATATGCTAGATTAATCTCACAATGATACCACAATGATACCACGAGTCCTTTTCAATTTGTTCGCTCAGTGAGACAGGGGTTTTAAAACAACAATCTATGGTTTTGCTTATTTATTCAAATATCGAGGCTTGATCAAGATTTTGACGTCAACAATAAAGAATTATTATGGAGACAAATTAGGCGCAGGGCTTACTCGTCCAGCATCATCAAGGCGGGCTGTGCATGGAAGCTTTAGAATGGCTCTACCCGTTTCCCGTTTCACTTCAACAAACTTCCGACTTCCCCGTTTCTGCAACTCTGCATTGAACCAACATATCCATGGAAACTCATGGGCATCGGCGCCTAACATCATTTTCGTACATTGTTTTGTCAACAATGCTAATTGTCAAAATAGGAATATCGTCATTACATGGTGCGCATCAGTGCGCCCCAGACTGCGGCTCAGCCAATCCCATCTCACCCCTGTCTGAATGGGGGCCAAAGTTGAAGAAAGGACATCATCACGGCCGCCATAATCATCAACCCTCATGCAAATTTTCAACAAGCCACTGTCAGCCTCGCGAAGGAGAGCTCCCCTTGTGCAATGTTCGGCTTGATAGATGATCAGCCACTTTTAGTCGTTCCGTGTAAGATGTGCTTGACACTCCGTGGCTTGATACAGTATGTTTGCTCCAACTTCTCAGCCTCGGTGGCAAATGTTCGAAGAAATGAATCTGTGATGAAGTTGGATGTGATGAAATCGGGAAAAGAAGCAAAGCAGTGGTTTTAAGCATACAGTGTGAAGACCGGAGCGAGCCTAACGCGGTCCCTGTCCGGCTGGACTGAACACATTGTGAAGGCACAAGTACCAGCATGAACATGCAAAAACGTCCCAGTGTATCGGTAATGGAGGCGTTGTGTTGTCGATGGTAAGGCAATGCTGTGTAATGAGCCATTTTTCCAACCGGTTCTCTCCTTCTGTCTGCAGAAATACTGTGGGGAGAATTCATGCATATAATATGTAATATGTGAACGAATTTAAGAACTTTGTATAAGTAAGATCGTCATCTCGCCTATCGGGACTCTACTTCCATTTGCTTGTATTTCTTAGTCTTATATTCTAGCTGGGTTAAGCATCTGAGCTACTTGAATACGTATACATGCGTTTACGAAGCGGATTGGATAAGGCTAGCGAGCGAGATAGTCGGAGCCAGCCTGCTCAAGCCGCAAGTCTCGGTATGGAGGAACATCGTTTTACAGATTCTGGCTCAACTGGCGCAGATGTTGGTTCGTCAAGGCGAGTTCTTCCACTTTTCTTTTATGCTCTAGTTGCTTGTGAAAATGATGAATTAGGCTAACCGCGTGCTGTGAAGTAGTGGATCGCCATCTGAACCCGACACTCAGAACTGTGATACTTCCAATAGACAGCAGGCACAAGGCATAGTCCTCTCTAGTCAACATGAGGAATATCAAGAGATTCCAATGGCATCATCACATTATACTCAAAGACCTTGCTCAGCACCACCATCATTTTATGACCCAACTCTCTATCCCGAACCCTCCATTCCTGTGTTATATCCTACTACGTCTGCATCATCCTTACAGCCTTATACAACCACAACTGCCTCTCAACCTCAACCTCAACTTCAACTTCAACATAACTATCCACCCTATATGCCATCTCACATAAATGCACCTCAGCCTGAGTCTATCTACACCTCCGCACCTTCATACCCCTACCCACCACCACCACCAGCTCCTACACCACCACCGCCTCCCCCACACTCTTGTCACTTTGACCCCTCTCAAAATTATCCCCAAGCTCATCTACCATACCACCAATCCCAAAACCAGTACCACCTCCCTCTCACCCAACCTCAACCTCGAACACCACACCTCCCATCCATCAGACCAAACTTCCCTCCTCTTCCCACTTCCCAAACTCAACTCCAGACTCACCAGCCACATTACCAATCCCAAGAAAGTCCCTGGTCTCCACTTGAAGCGCATGAATCCCGCAAACGCCGCGCTTCAGATGCGTTGAGTAGTGCCGGACTGGGCGTCGCTGACGCAGATGTGGATTGGGGCTATAAGGATAAGATGGGTCGGGAGCTTGATTCTCTAGAGATGGAAAGTAGAAGTATGAGGAGAAGAGATGAACGGGGTGAAGGTAGCGAGAGGGGAAATGTACCAGGAAGTAGCAGAAGAAGTAGAAGAAGATTGAATGATGAAGATGTAGGGAATGGAAGTGCGGGACGAAGACAAGGAATAGATGAAGATGAAGATGAAGATGAGAATGAAGTTGAGTACGAAGCAAGAATGACGCGAGGGGAAGGGGATGAAAGTGATCGAGGAAATGGGCATGCGTATTCTTGAGTATGGAAGGTCCCGACAAGTTCAATTTGGATGGATGACTACATCTATACGATATTTCTATTGTCTATTTGGATACGATATTTCCCTTTCTTGTTTTCCGAGCATTGGTTTCTCATTTCATTATTGTTTGCAATTTTCTATTTCATAATTTCTTTGGATGTTTACAGAGGTTCAGCAGTACTCATGTTTCACAAGAAGGATTTGAAGGATTTGGCAATTTTTGTGTAGTTTTCCTACAGAGTCAATGTGTTTGTTATGCGAAGTTTCGAGTTTTTTCTTGATTAAGCCATCAGTTTGTATTGGTAGATGTTCAGAGAATAGGAAAATCAATATTTCACATTAGGATTGAATGTAGTGGTTGATGTATACCTAGTACATATATTGATGTGGATTAGATGCCAAGTGTGTTTTGTATATTCCCCAAAAATAGAGGATATTTGACACAAATTTCGACATGGAAAGAAATGATCCTTTGATCTGGAAATGTGATCAGAGAAGATAGAGATCTAATGCCACTTGCAATCTTGTATGTAGCGATACTATACGAAAGCGAGACCGACTACCAGCCATGTAAACTATGAAAACTCGTATAGTACAAAGTTATTATGAATTGCTTACTGTATGTATGTATTGCACCTTCCCGCCTACTGGCTGCATGACGCCCCAATGGGTCGCAGTTTGTATGACCATAAGCTTTGAATAAGAATAAGCATCTTGTTCCTTCTGCAGTCACTTGATGCGCGACCAAGGTCTCACCCTCATCCACATTTTTTACATTGGCACAAAAGTCGCAGTAAATGATACAAACGGGGCGGAGAACACCCATTTACATTTCTCTAAACAATACACTGCATACGCTATATTACTAATATTTACCCTTCTTTGATGGTCTAGCATTCTTTGCTTTCCTCCTCTCCTGTAACTTTCTATCCTTTCGAATATCCTCCGTACTCTTAATCTCCGACTTTCCACTACCATCTTTGAATGAGCCAACTCTCTTTTCCTTTGCCTCAGCAACTCTCTTCTTCCTGACATGGTAATCATCACGATATTTATCAGCTTCCTTTGGTGCTCTCTCTTGCTTGTGCTTGTATCTTGTACCGAAGCCTCGTCCAACTCCACCAGCACTGGCAGGGCCCTCGCGTTCTGCTTCACCTGTTCGAGGCATACGATCGACCTTGTGTGCTTTACGCCATCTATCGAATCGACCACTTTGGAAACTAGCTGCAATCTTTTGACCACTCTCTCCACGAATGTATTTGGTTCCTTTAGATCCATCCTCATCGTTGGCTCGAGCGACATATTTGCTATTCTTTTTATCCCATCTCATTCCCTTTGCTCTAGCGGGCTCGGCAAAGGATTTCGCCCCGTCATCATTAGTGAGGTCCATAGTAACTCCTCTAGCTGCCTCGACGAAATTTGAGTTTTGAGATGCTGTGTTGTATGAACCAGAATGAACACCATATCCACGTTCTTCTGCAGTATTGATAGTTTTTGGCGTATATGACATGAAATTTTCGGAGTCTTTCCAAGACAGCGTTCGTCCTTTGCCTTTTTGTGATGCTTTCGAGAACGTAACTTCAAGCTCATTTTCCGATGCCTCGGCCATATCGCCATCTCCTCCAGTGACTGTGACCTCAAGATCATCGTCATCACCATCGTCGCCATCTACCTCCATAGGCGTATCGTTATCTAATTCTTCTGCTGCTGCTGCTGCCTTTTCGTCCTCCTCCTTCTGTCGTCTTGGAATGATTTTCTCCCTTCGGTGTCGCATGATTTCAGCAGCCTCGCTGTGAGCAGCTTTGCCCTTCTGCCCGATCTCAAATACAGTTTCATTGGGTCGGAATCCACTGATCTTTGCAAGCATATCCAATCGAGCTTGTTCGGCACCATTTGTCACATCCTTGAAAAGTGGGTGTAGTTCCATCCACCCTTTTGATGCTACTACTTCTTTGGCTCTCTTTGCACTCTCACTTGATGCCGAGTTACGGGTCTTAACGTAGAGCTTTTCTCCCTTAGCTGATACATTTCGCAACGCGGTAAGATCGTCGTCATCATAGAGAAGTTTCGTGATCCATTCCGACTTGCTTTCTATCTCATTTCTCTGCAGAGCACCAACAATTACATCTTCAGCGTAGTTTGGTGAGTCGCCACATTCACGTCCAAGAAGTAATCTCCTTCCTAGAAATAGCTGTAGATCGAGAAGATATGGCGCATCAGTATCTCTAACCAAACTGTAACTCCAACCCCGTTGACCAGCTCTTGCAGTACGACCGACTCGATGAACAAAAACCTTTGGTTGTGGTGGAAAGTCATAATTAATGACATTTGCTAGGACAGGAATATCAATACCTCTAGCTGCGACATCAGTGACTACTAATATATTTGATTTTCCAGTACGGAAATCCTCAACCTGGATATTTCTAGCGGTTTGATCGAGTGAACCATAGGCATGAGAAACAGCGAATCCAGACATACGAAGTAGAGAAGCGAGATAGTCGACATGATGCTTCGTGGCTGCGAATATGATTGTTGAATGCTCCGTGGGCTTTAGTTTCCTACTTGGGCCATCGGGACCTCTCTTGCGCTTCTTATCAAACCTGTCTGTTGCATTTAGTGCATTCTCGGGTAGACCTGTGGGCATTTTGACCAAATCTTGGAGGATGTGCAATAGAGCACCTTCTTTTTCGGCACCTTTAACACTGAAAAATGCACTCTGGAGATCCGGGGAAACTTTGCTCTCTGCATCGAGACGAACCAAACTTGGCTCTTGAAGACCAGCTCTGGCAAATTCCACCAGTGACTTTGGTAAGGTTGCAGAGAACAATAAAGTTTGTCTTGAAATTGGCAAGGCGTGAAGAATTTCTCCCAATTGAGCAGCGAAACCCATTTCGAATAGACGATCGGCTTCATCAAAAACAACATATTTCATCGACGATAAATCCAAAGACATTTCAACCTTCAGATGTAAAAATCGACCAGGCGTAGCAATAACAATATCAGGATTTCCGGCCATAAATCCGAATTGTTCTTCGAGACTGTCACCTCCAACAAGTAGTACACATTTAAGGTCAGTTCCTCGTCCAAATTCCTTAACAACTTTCAATGTTTGTAAGGCCAATTCTCGAGATGGAGACATAATTAAGGCTCTTGCACCAACACGCACACTGTGAGCTCTCAACTTTTCAATCATTGGAATGACGAAGGCAGCAGTTTTTCCGGAACCAGTTCTAGCCATACCAACAACATCTTGATTATCGAGGACTAAGGGTATCGTTTTTCGTTGAATAGGTGTAGGTACATTGAATCCTTTTCTACTAATTGCCTTTAACAAATGCGAATTCAATCCTTGGTTGAAAATTAGTACATTTGCGCAAAATACAAGGAGAGGAATTTCATACCCATTGCTTGAAATCCACCGCCCTTCTTGACACTCTGCCCTTTCAAATTTGAATTCTTTCGGTTGGCAGCTGATTGCTGTGCCGATATAAAAGCTCCATCGCCATCTCCATCACTCTCGAGTCCCAGATCCAGTATACCATTAGCATCCAGAGGCTCTACATTTTTAGTAGTTGTATTTCCGAAATTATCGTCATCTCCGTCGATATCGTCATTGAAGAGAGATTTGGTGATATCAAAATCATTCTCCGAAAGCGCGGGGGATGCTGCACGACGAGGCATTTTGAGAGTCGTATTTTTCCACAGCTCGCGCAAATAGCAGCATTCGAAGCATTGAAGATATCCAAAATCTTATCAGTTCAACTTTTTTTCTGATATGGCCCGTGCATCATTTCACCGCCTTCGTTAGCGCAAAACCTTAAATTTTGGAGGCAGATTGGAAAAATATATTCGAAATATTTTGGACCTTGAGCGATCAATTGATATTGTACATAAATATTTGAGAATCATGGCACCACCAGCTTCCGGGCGCAAGTCCAAGAATGTTAGCAAGGGTAAAAATGATGCGAAAACTTTGAAAAGGAAAAGAGATATAGAAGATCATGAAAAGCTTCAGAAATCAGTGGATGAGCTTGTAAGTGCAGCAATACCTTCCTTATCGACATTTACTGACTCTTTCAGGATGCGAAAGCAGAAATCAAAAACTTCTCTGAACTTCCCCTGTCTGAACCTACATCATCTGGACTCGAAGCGTCTCATTTCAAAACTTTGACGGACGTTCAATCGAAAGCTGTTCCTCTTGCGCTCAAGGGAAAAGATATTCTGGGCGCTGCGAAAACTGGTAGTGGAAAGACTCTTGCATTTTTAGTACCGGTATTGGAGAACCTTTACAGACAGAAATGGACAGAACTAGATGGCCTCGGTGCTCTCATTATATCTCCAACTCGTGAATTGGCCATACAAATTTTCGAGGTTTTGCGAAAAATCGGACGATACCACACCTTCTCGGCAGGATTGATCATTGGAGGTCGGAGTCTGCAAGAGGAGAGGGACCGTTTAGGGAGGATGAATATACTTGTGTGTACACCTGGGCGCATGCTACAACATATGGACCAAACGGCTGCATTCGATGTTGATAATCTACAAATGTTGGTCCTAGATGAGGCGGATCGAATCATGGATATGGGATTTCAAACATCTGTTGACGCTATACTGGAACATTTACCGAAACAACGCCAGACGATGCTATTTAGTGCCACACAAACGAAGAAAGTCTCAGATCTAGCAAGATTGAGTTTGAAGGAACCCGAATATGTCGCAGTACATGAAGCAGCATCCTCAGCCACCCCCACTACATTACAACAACATTACTGCGTGGTGCCTTTACCTGCAAAGCTCAACACGCTATTTGGCTTCATTAGAGCTAACCTAAAGGCTAAAATAATAGTATTTATGTCTTCAGGCAAGCAAGTGCGTTTTGTCTACGAAAGTCTAAGACATTTACAACCTGGTATTCCATTGCTTCATCTCCACGGTAGGCAAAAGCAAACCGCAAGGCTTGACATAACTTCAAAGTTCTCTTCATCGAAAAATTCATGTAT